CCGAGGTGTGGCGGGATTTGAGTTGTGGGAATGGAGATAACTCCTAATAGAAAGTGTTTTTCCATTTAATTTGCTTTAGGATTAGTCGGATCAACGGATCCTGAATACTGAATGAGTAAACCAACACATTAAGGAAAAAAACATATCGAGTAATAATCACCAAGGGATGTGGTGGGATGGATGAGATTTTTCCACCCTTAACCAGAACTCTCGGATTCGAGTCTTTGGAATAAAGAAACTCCTACTAGGAAACATTTCCCACTTAAATTTTTCCTATGTAGTGCGAATCCAGATATTAAATGCGTCTCAAACACCAAAAAGTTTAAGTGAAAAAAAAAAAGCAGATGGAGTAATAAGGATGTTTACCTTCAAAGAGACATTGTTTCCCAGGACAATGGTGGACTGAAATTTTCTATCAATAGTAGAAGCAGCAACAGTGAAAATCCAGGGAGCAGAGTTGGTAACAGTATAAGGATCAGGTCCCTCATTCCCACCAGAACAAACAACCATAACTCCTTTTTCAGCAGCATGAAGAGCCCCAATGGCAATAGGATCATCTTTAAAGTCAGTTTGAAACACAAAACTTCTCCCAATGGAAATGGAAATTATGTCAACTCCATCTTTAATTGCGTCATCAATAGCTTTGAGTATTGCAGAACCTTGACAATTTCCTTCTGAACATGCCTTGTACGTTGCTATCCTAGCAGAAGGTAACCCTCCCCTAGCTGTGCCATTTGCTAGGCCATAGTAATTGGCATTAGGGACAATTGCACCTGCTGCTATGGAAGCTGTGTTTGTTCCATGACCTACTTTATCCCTTGGAGTTCCATTTGGTTTTGATGGTTTAGTGGTAATGTTAGGTATTTTGGTGAAGCTGGATTCTTGATCTTCAATTTTGTAAAACCTTGCTCCTATCAACTTCCTACAATATATAGATTTTGAGATAGACTTTAATTTTCAGGAGAATATGTGACGTTATAGGTCAGGTTTGATGATTTGCCAATATTATTTAGGACGCATCATATTTTCAAATGCTGAGATATTTGGATTTGATTCAAATGAGAATTATGACTGATGAGATTACTGATACTTTTTTTCGAGTAAGTCATAATGTTGAGATTGGTGAAAAGTAAAAATGGCATTTTATTCCAAGTCAAGATTGTCTATATAAACTCTTGGCAATGTGTTGAACATTAAGTAGGCATTTCGAAATAAAAGTTGTTAATTTTTAAGAAAAAGTAGTATTTGGAGTTAAGTTGAGAAATGGTATTTGGAATTTAAAATTATGTTTGGACATGCGTTTCACTTGAAAAAATACTACAGTTTTGTGAGTGAGGAAAAAAATTCCATAAATTTAAAAAGAACTCATTTTCAAAAAATCTCTAAGAACTTACAAAATTTCATAGACAAACGCTTTTTAGAAAAGAAAACCCAAAAGAAAAGGGGGAAAAAAATCGACAAAGGGGTCGAGAGTAACCAAAATGAAAAATAAAAGAGGAGAAAGAAAAGTGATGACCTATTGCAGTTTGACTTATCGAAGTCAAATCCTTCCATGCAGACTCCTTTCCATCTTGATGGTACTTTTCCAATATGTTGGTCATCAAAACTAGGGGACTCGGGCCATATGCCTAAAAATAAAGAGTAATTAAGACAATTTACATAAAAGCAAAAAAAAATGAAGCGGGGGGGTTTG